TTTATTCTTTATGTATTTTATTTATTTATATTGGGAAAACATGTATTTAAAGGCTGTATTTTTCCTTTAATTATCTTGAGAGTTGTCTGCTCCACTCTTCATTAATAAAATTTTCCTTTAATAATGACAAACTATTAATGATTAACATGTTCCTTTATTGAAACCATTACATTGATAGTATTCCAAAGTATTTTAACACAATAATATTTAAAAGTATACTGAGATATAAAGATATTAATTATATAAGAAAAGGTTCAAAGATCACAAAATATAATTGGCATTCAGTAGTAATTCAAAGTATAGTTATTATAGAAAGATATATATTATATAAAGTTATTCTTTAGGTATCTATCAAATAAAGATATCCAATATTAAAAATCAGTAGTAACCCAAAATAAATTATTACAAATATATAATATAAAATTATGCTTTTGGTATTTATCAAGTAGGAATAACAATTTGACAATACATGTCTTAATATTAATTGATATTTGAGTACAATATGCAAAGTTAACAATTGTTAATGATTTGACACACAATGTCTCACTATTAGATGCTTTGGTGTATTATCAGATATGTTAACAATTTGACATTACGTGTCTCATCCTTAATTGATATTCAAATACATTATAATAGTTAGCAATTCGGCATGTAGTGTCTTATTATTGGACAATATTTAAACAAATTATGTGAAGCTAACAACTGTTAACAATTCAGCACTATATGTCACAAACCTGGTCCTTATTGAGAAATTAACTAGAAGTTAAAGGCACTATGTGCCCAATTCGAGTATAGCTCTTATATTGGGCCTGCAACTAAATACATCGTTTTGTTTATGTAGTCTAATAATAGAAATTAATTATGATTACTAAATCAGTATACATTATATCGCATGTGATTTGATATACAAAATATATCATTTTGGTGTGTATCATAAAAAGTAAAATGTACATTACTTGAGCATGTCCTAAAATGCAAAATGTGTACTATACTGGCATTGATATATTTTTTTTGCCATGTCAAAAACTAGTTATAATCACCAAACTAGCATACAAATAATACTATTGAATTTGAGTTATAATAGAAAATGCAGAAGAAGTAGGCTGTAACATTATAATCTAAATCAAATATTTCTTTTCAATGAAAATCAATCAGAAACATTAAACTAATAAACAAAAATTTATATATTGATTAAAATATTATTGATATCGAATTTGACTTTCTAAAGAGTATGTAATATAACTTAAGTTTTGCAATTTACACATCACACCTAGGCATATATTATTGATCAAGTTACTTGAATTTTATGATCTATCTATCACTTAAATAATTTGAGTTTTATGATTAACCTATTACTCGAATAACTTGAATTTTGTAATTTATATATCATATTGGTATGGTTATAGTCTAAATTAAATGATATATTTGAAGTTTGTATGGATTCCAAATATATCACTAATATTGTAATATATACGTATTATATGTATAACTTGTGAATTTCTGATTTTTTACAAAATTACAAAATAACTTTAAATATAAAATCTTGATATATGTATATAACAGATTAATAAAAGTATTTGCAATGTATTTTTAAAGATTCTTTTTTAAATTAATTCAAAGCAAATTATAAATGTAGTTTTTACAACCAGTACTTAATAAAGCACAAGGTTAATGAAGCATTGTATTAGATGTTCAACAAAAATTATTTGTTTATATTGTCAAATCAATTCAAGAAATATTTTTGCATTTAATATATTAATTATGTTATTGAAAAAATTTTTTTTTTATTTCTATACTTTTGTATCTTTTTTTTTATGTTAAATAAAATAATATTTGGTTAAATTTTTTTTAAAAAAATTTATTCTCATTTTAATTATTGTTTAAATGGTATAAAATAGTATGTTAAATTATCAGTTATTAAAAAAGTTTTAAAAAATCAATCAATTATGCAAGAATCAAATATTATTAAATCAATTCATAAAAATCAAAAATAAAATAAAACTAGAAAATAATGAATATAATATAATAATATAGTACTGTATATACAATAAAAAAAGATAATTAAAATAAAATAAGATTGAGAACTTTAAAAAAAAATATTTTTTTAAATTTTGACTTTATAAATTGCATTTTCAAGAAAAAAATTGCATAATAAAATAAAGATTTCATGTTGTTTTTAAGAAAAATATATTTTTAAAAAATATATACATGATATAAATTGATCAAATTTTATGTAATGCATTATACAGTATGTGTAGTGATGTTATTTACAGTAAATAAAATCAAAATAAAATAAATAATTATTATTTGATCTTTCTTTTCTTTTTTTTAATTCAACAAAAAATATTTTAAAATTGTTGAATCAACATTGAAATTTTATTTTCTAATTTAGTTAATAGCATATGATCATTTAAGTCTGTAACAGTCGAACATTTTAACAGTGCTATCAATAATAAAGCTGACAAATTTGATGACATTCTGGATAAAACCAATAGTGCAACGAATAAAGATGCATTAACTGAATGACACATGTTCCTAACGTTGCATATAGACAGGAAATTGTTTGCTATTGCTTTGATTGTATACGCGATGTAATAACATGCAAAAATGATGCTCATATACAAAAAAAGAAGTTACATTATTGATAGGTCAATTGATAAGAATATGAATAGACGGCCAAAAAGTAACTAGTGATCTTAATAAAATAACATAATAATGCAACATACTCATTTGAATGTCTCAAGTAAAAAATAACGATATTTTTGAATTTATATTTCCGATACTTTTTGATTCATCAATTGTCTATACACTCGAGTAAGAAATAAGCACGTTGACACACTATAGGATTTGTTTCTATTTTGCATACAATTTTACAATTCAAGTGTACTGCGTACGTCTTACTTATTTCCTAAAATATGGCCTGACTAATTCTTTTACTCATAAAATAAAATAAAAAGATAAAATAAAAATATTAGAATAGAATAGATTAAAATCTATCGACTCTTCAAACAAAACAGTCGATAAGATATCATGCCCAGAACTTTTATCTCAAGATTCAAGAAAAAGTAAAGTCTTGATTTCATGAAAGTAAGAACAAAAGAAACTTAACGTCAAGTCTAACAAACTAAGCAATTAACCAAACTCTGGGTGGGTTAATGTTAAAGGCAAGCAGGCTATCTATTGCTAACATGTATAAGGTCGTATATGATCAGAATCTGAGTTTCTAATCCATGAATAAAATAAATATAATACTCCGAAAAAAAGAACCAAAATTCCAATTCCCTTAATACTAATAATAAGTTTAACAGGCCCTAAATGGTAAAAATCGATAAGCATTCAAGTGTTACCTTGAACTAGGCTATTAGTTCCATATGCTCCGTTTTTCTTCGACCTTTATTCTTAAAGCTTCTAACCCATTCATTAAATTCTTGTATGGGATGACTGTAGGGATTGGAACTATAAACATATTCCAAATTGGGCCAATCACTCATCATCAAAGGCTCCACCAAGTTTAAAGTTACGTTCTCACAGTCTTGTATGGTTAGAGAATTTAGTTTTTTACATTTGGTCAGAAATTCTAGATTAGGACCATCGGATTTAAAATAGTGCCCTTGAATGAAGACTTTTATGAGAGATTCCGATTGCGTGGAGAGAGAAGCGAGATAAGAATAGGAAGGTGCCCTATAATTAAAGGAAACGTATTTTTGGAGTTTCCGTTGACCGGAAATCAATGCGTAAAGATTTTCTAATAGCTCGGGATTTTCGCGACTATCCAATCTTGTAAAGTCGGTAATCAATTTCTCCTACAGAATTATTCATGATACGTCTCTGTATGTGCCTACACATGCAGTTATAAAATAGAAGAAAACATCTCCTTACCAAATCTCTGCAATTCTCTGAGATGACTTTGGTGAAATTCTGTTCAAGAATATATCCTGGCAAACGCACATCTTTCACATCAACAATCAAACTTTTGATTTCCTCTTCACCCAACAAACTGATGTTAACCTGGTTTAAATTTTCTTCGTATTTTTTGAATTGTTCAAATGAGACATTTCTCATTGAAAAATATTCCAATTTAGACCCATGGTTTGCGAGTAATTTCAACAATTCCTTTAGCATGATATTATAAAATCTTGTTTCTAGTTTCTTTTGGTTGCACCAATCAAAAATTGATTGAAGAAAAACATCAAACTCCATAAATCTCAGCATTGATGGATAATCAAATAAATATTTGGTATTTGAAAGGTTGACCCCGTAGTTTGTGAGGTATTGACGTTGTTCGTTATCTAAGAACCGAACCAGAATATCAATAGCTTTGACCTTATTTTCTGTGTATAATCCAAAAGCGTTTGACCACATAATGGGAATGGCATTTTCACACCATAATCGGTTAACTAAACAGCAAGATCTGAGATTTTTGCACCCTTCTTTAAGAAGGTATTGAAGACGAAAATCATATAATTCTTTGAATATAGGATGAAGAATTTCCGAGGGAAAATGCACCATTGTTAATACTTGCGGATGAAATGAAATTGATGTTGATGACTTTTTATCTGCAACGTAGTTTGTGTATTACAAATTACGTATAGTGATTTCCATTTTTTATTACCGAATCTAGTCGCAATTTACTGCGCAGCATTTCTATTGTTTGAATTATTTGAACACAAGCGACCTCTGTGTACTGAAAGGTGACACCGCCACTGTATATATGATAAGTAAAAGAAAATACATTAAAATGGTTAAAAAGATATTAATTGCAAAAATGATAAAAAATCAGCTGGAACATAACTTTAATCAAAATATCTATCAAATGCAATCATAATTATTATATAATCTAAAAAGCAAAAAAAAAAAAAATTATAAAAATATAAATACTGTATTGATACAGTTATAATATTATTTAAATCAATAACTTGATAACATTGTTATTTTTTGAAAAATATAGAAATTATAAAAAAATGTATTGTTTGTTTAATAAACTATTTCAAGTTATTTGTATCTTTTTCAAATATTTTAAAAATTCTATATCTGAATGTGGCATCATATATAAAGATATTAACTAGTGTTTATATGATAAATAATTTTTATTGAATATAATTTTTAAATAGATTTTATTTATGACTCCTAAACAAATTAAATTTAAAAAATCTACAGTATAATTTTATTAAAACCATTAAATCCAGATTAATTCTGAAACTGAAATTTCAATATTATATTTTAAAAAATTTTAAACTTTAAAAAAGTTTTTTTTTATTTATTATCAATAAAAAACCTTATAAAAATTATTATAAATATATTTAATTAGCACTTCATAGTTTTTATAATTTACAAATTAGTTGGAACCTATCAAAACAAACAATATTTCTAATAATCTAAAGTTATATATTATAATTACTATATATTCAATAAATTTTAATATTAAATAAAATATATATATAATATTGTTTTTTTTAATAAATACCAATTGTTGATTAAAATATAGTTAATCCAAAAATACATAATTTTTTTTTAAAAAAATTCATATCTTTCAATAGAAATAAATTAAATATCAATTTATCAAAATAATTATTACTAAAATTATTAAATTAATATGATATTTGAATAATAATATATAAAACTAGAAATATGTAATTTAAAAATCACAAATAAGATTTTTTTCAATAAATAAAATAAAATATATATTATTATAATAACTAATAAATGATTTTTATATTATATCTTTGATTTATTTAATTATAAAAATAAAATAAATTTAATATTAATATGTATTTAAAATTATAATTTTTAATTAAAACTAATTATTTAATTCAAAAATTCAAAAGTCTTTTTTAATGTTAAAATGAAATATTACTTATTATTTTTATTAACATGATAAAAAATTTTGTTACATAATTAATAATAAGATATAAATTATATTACTACATTTATTAATCTATCATTTATTATAGAAATATATTATTTGTAAAAATCTTGATACAATAAAAACCTAAAAAAATAAAAATAAAAAAACATTTTGAATAGAATTATTATTTATAAAATATTAAAAAAATAAAAGATTGATTAATATAATTATAATAATAATAATAAAATTTTTTTTGTAAATAATTTTTTTAAAATAGATGGTTTACACTATACATGGTTTCTTATTACCATAAAAGGAAATTTGGTTGACAATATAATTCTGAATTAAATACGATTTCCAATTACTTACTAATTGTTACTTAGTATATAATACAGTTTTTAAAAAATATCTAAATTAAATATGAACATATATATACATGTTGCTGAAATTTGTAGATCATTGACATAATTGATGCAATTATTTGACACAATTAATTGAGTCACTATTAAAACATATAAATAATTGAGTTATGGTGCAATTATTTTTGAGAATTTTGGAAATTGAGTCAATAGAAAATAATTTATGCCACATGTATAATCTTAGTGATTCTTCCAGAAGATCATATGAATTAATAAAATAAAATAAAATAAAATAAAATAATAAATAAATGTTAATGTTAATCAAACACATTAATAATATTCTATAACTTCAAAATAATAGTAAAGCAAAAAACTCTTTCTGCTGATTCTTTTGCTAACCCAAAAAACAGATGTTCTCAAAAAACTTTTTGTTTTTATGATAATAAAGTCTATACACTTTCCTTAACAACACT